TGAGGTCATATTCGGGTTTAGTAGTTCAAAATACGTAAAGGTCGATGTATCGCTCATCAAAGCCTGTTTAAAATTTATCTTTCATACATTCAGTGTCCGGGAAAGCTTTTACACGAAGTTAGGGTCGGGAAAATCGGATTTACCGAAAAGCTGGAGGGCGATGGAAAAAATATATAGCGATGAAAGTGAAATCAATATTGATTGATTAACAATGAAGACATTTTTTTGGGTATAGCGGAGTGAAGTATGACAGTGAGGCTGAAACTTTGTGGACAAATACGTTCATCTTCTAGTTTCGCCATTTACTCTGCTGTTTTTTGTGAAGCCACTAGATTTCCTTCCAATTGACAGATAGGCAAAATTAGGTACTCCAGAGCAGCAATAGTTGTATTTGCCTTTTGTACGAATGGTAAAATGTGGACAGTTGGTTGCTGGTTAACCCGGCGGCTCTACTTTTGAGCTTTTTCTTTTTATACGTTATCAATAGAAAAAATATTATATGTAAACATTTTTCACCCCTCCATTTTATACTAATCAATAGTCAAATCGTAAATTTCTCACACATGTAACATCTCCAATGAAAGGTTTTTTGGATGAGGTACAAGCAGTTCTGAACGTACCGATGCATAGTGAATATGGACAACTTTTCAACATCGGCACAAAAATAGATTGAATCAAAATTGTATAGTGTAGGTAAGGTAAGTATGGGGTAAAAAGTGACGTCACCTACGTTTGATAAATCCACCCGTATCTTCAGTTACTAGATAAAGAGCCGTGTGTTAACGCGCGGCGGAAGTAATTAAAAAGAAAAACGTAATTCCGGTCATGCATGGATGGTTAAATAAACCGGGTGTACTGCTGTGCTAAGGAAAAACGCCGTATGAACCCTCCGGCGTTGCCAAATTTCCTTCGGCAAAACACGAATATCCTGGTGAACTTGTGAACATTTTTCATCCAATTTTTCAGATCATTTCGTTCCCAATCTCACCTAAAGTTTCTGAAAATTTCAAGGAAAAATCTTCATAACGTTCCTCATAAATACAAATATCACAGGAAATTTGGCAACTCTCGAATGTTCATACGGCGTTCTTCCTGAGCACGGCAGTGTAGGCAACGAGAAGGAGATCCAGATTTCCAGAAGCTCCGATTTTATCAATTAATCGGCGCGAACTTACCCTTGAATGTATCGGCTTCTCGTAAAGCCGCTGGCCTGGAGATGTGTTCTCACTTACTGACCGATAAGATTTTTTTTCGCCACGGACATCAACGAACTTTTCGATGGTCACGTGTCAAAAGATCCCAATCAGCAACAATACGCGATGAAAAATTACCCAATAATTTAATTTTGCACTCCTGACTTTTTAACTAAAATCGTTTTTTATCCTTATTTCTTGACTAGAGATTTTTTTGGATTTATCTTTTTTTAATAGATTTTTTATTTTTATTTTTTATCTCCCTTGATTCACCATTGATAAGTAAGGGTTTTAAAGGGCGTGGTGACGCCCTGAGGGGAATCGCTTCTGAATTTTAAGTATCTTAATTTTTACATGCCGTTCATCAACTGTAGAAGAAATATCGCGGAAGTTTTCAAAAATCAATGGAATCAAAATTAGCAAAATAATCTCTTGAAGATTACTCTAACTTCGTTAGGTTCCTAAGGGCCTTGTTGTGTCGAATCAAAAGCATCAAGTTTTTTCACAAACTTGGACTAGATAGATTCACACTCTCTTATTTTCTCCACGAGTAACTAAGCCAAGGTTAAAAGAGATGTGACGGCATCAGCGATTTGATTTTAAGCTCAGCTCGAGACAAAAATTAATCACCTCAGCATGTAGTGATTTATCTTAGCATTAAATTGTTCCACGATGGCGCATCACAATTGTCAACGAAAAAGAAAATAAACTTTAAAAGTCTCCAAAAACGCACGTATAAAACTTGATTCTGGGTAGATTTTTAACGGTGATTCCAAAACTGCATAGCCCCCGTTTTCTCGGTCGGTTGAGTTCTGCCACCCAAAAAAAGCGACATTCTCCTCAAAAGTATTGGGATTTCTCGGACATCTGGCTCCCTACAGAGAGATAATCCATCGGATTACCTTTGAATTCAGCAACCAAATTTTTATTGGTTTGTACTAAGAGAGTGCCTGAGAATTTTCCCAGGTGTCCTTAACTGACGATATAGTTTTCCTGGTAAAATGGTTTAGTTTGCCCTCACTGCCACCAAATTCTTGAAACTCATCCAATTATTTTGCCTTTGCAAGGGCAGGAGAATAATTTAATCTAGGTATTCGATGCAGCCAAGCTCACCTACATTTGTCTCTCAAACCGAAAATAACCTTAATTCCCTTCTGCGCATCCAATTGATTTTCGAAAAATGAAATTAAAAAAGGTATCTATTTTTCAGTTCGGAAAAACAGCTTATCTTCCAATCTGTACGTTCCATTTACAAGAGATTTCATCCCATCTCCCTCTCATGGAGCTGCGTGTAATTCTACCCAATAGAGATTGGAAATCAACTGCGTATACATGGTTAGTTAGATAGAAAGTTGAGTGTTACGTTCAATATAGGTGCCTACTTTTGTGGTCGCGATTTCTATTGATCGTGTAAAAAATCACGTTAAAAATTCACATCCAGAGTTCCCAGATCAAACGCAATTTTCTTACTTTTGGAAAGTTTGATCTCATAAATTTACAATTTGGGTACTAACTTTTAGCATGCCCGCATGCTTTCTAAGTACACCCCTCTCTTCGATCTATTATCCATCAGATTGTTATATACTCGACATTTATACTTTTTTACACTCTTTTTGCAAAATCTTTTGTCTCTCATAATTATTTGATGATAATTTCAGTACTGCGTCATTTTTACGTCAGCTCGGAACATTCGACCAATGAATGAACAAACACGTTCGTTTGGAGTGGAATACCCGACATCGCTGGTTGTTGATTCCCGTTGCACTCAGCCGCTGCTTGCTTTTTCTCCGCACACTGAAAGGCAATTGGCTCAGGTCCGAACTCAAGAATGAAACATTTTGGCCGATAACTCCTTGAGCCGATTATTTTTCAAATGACGTAAGCTCCAATCTCTATTTTGGTGGTTAAGGGGTTGTTTTTTCTTTGTTTTCTCTGGTATAATCAATCATGTCTGATTTCAAAATAACACCCTAAAAGAACATTTATTTTTTGGAATTCGAAGATTGTCAACAAAACGAATAAAACGGGTTTTCTTGTTTTTCTCGCATTCGCAATTTTGGGGCTTAAGTGATTTTGGAAAATAATCGGTTCCTGTATTGTCACCCCTCCGGCAAAAGAACGTATCCCATTTTTTTAATATTGATCAAATCTAAAGAAGTAAAATGAATGCATACTTTGATAGGAATAACTGCGGATGACCGGGGGTGCAGGAGCGTAACCCGAACTGGCTTCGACTCGGCTAACCGAACAGCCAGTATTCATTTATGTTTACCTAAAGCTCTAGAGTTGCAATTAATCATTCAAAGAGAAAAGTAGACTAAGGAAGGTTATACATTTTCAGCAAACGTTATCAAAAAAAGCCTCCCATGGAAGAATTGTTTGCAATGAATTTCATAGTTCTGCAGTCATTATTGCACCTCACACCAAAACCTTCATTAGGTTTTGATAGTCACTTGTTGAGGCAAAGATCTTCGGGACTAAAATTAAAAAAATACGCACATTTTCAGCAAACTTTGGGTCACTTTGACTTCCAGTCGGACGTATTTATGTTAAATAGAACTACACTGAAAAAAATATATGGTAGATTTTACCATAATCTGACACAGTGGTCCGGGTATGATAATGAACACCAAACTTTACGGTAGCATTTACCATATTATGGTAAGTATCGCCAGAGTTCTAGTGAATAATACCATAATTCTAGTTATTTACACCAAAGAGTATCACTGTGTAAAATATCAAGTAGCCTTATAGTAGATGCTAATATACTTTGTTTAGTGTATGTTATACGCAAACCCCATACTTATAGTTCCTTTTAGCATAAATACGTTAATTTAAGAGTCTAGGGTTAACCGTGATTCCTCCGGTCTGCGAAAAAAAAATGTAAAAGCTCGCATTCGCAAAGGCAGTGCACTGAAAAAAATCTCGGTATATTTACTAAGAAAAGGGTAAAATTACCAAAAATTCAGGGTTCTATTTGATCCCACTTTTTTCTTCGTAAAATTACCATTTATGGAATTGGTAATTTTACCGAGAAATCTAGGTAAAATTATTGAACTTTCTCCGTGATTTTACTGGACCTTGGTAAAAACGCCAATATTTGTTATCGACTATGATAGAATTACCGAGATAAAATGGCAAAGTTACCGGGAATTGATTACCAATAAAAGCGGTATTCTTACCTGAAAAAAACAGTAAAAATACCAGTTTTTTGGTAAGTTTACTAGTCTGTCTTGGTGAAAGTACCAATAATTGGTGAAAAAAGCGAGATGGTAAAGGTGCCAACGGACCTTGGTAAAAACGCCGAGAATTTTTTTTCAGTGTACGAGTAGAAATCCTACCAGAAACCTACTAGAATATTCATTCTACTCATAAGAGTAGAAAAGTTCAACTCATATGAATTCAATTTTTTTTCATTTTTCCGAAGTGGTGTGGATAAAATGGCAAAGTTACCGGGAATTGATTACCAATAAAAGCGGTATTCTTACCTGAAGAAACAGTAAAAATGCCAGTTTTTAGGTAAGTTTACCAATCTGTCTTGGTAAAAGTACCAATAATTGGTGAAAAAAGCGAGATGGTAAAGGTGCCAACGGACCTTGGTAAAAACGCCGAGAATTTTTTTTCAGTGCGATTCCTCCGGTCTGCGAAAAAAAAAATGTAAAAGCTCGCATTCGCAAAGGCAGTGGAAAGGGACCAAGTGCGTATCTCAAAGGTTTCCAATCCTGCCCACTGTGGCGCGAGATGCGAAGATATCATATTTAAACGAAGTGATAAAGGCTCAAAGGTCCTTTTATCGTTCATTTGCGTCGTCGGGCCGGTTGCCGCGAAACGCTCTCGGGCTACTTGTGCGTCGCCCCTTCGATCGTAGATATCGGAGCCCAGCGCCGGAAAACCACTCAAGTGTTCGTTTCCTCGCGCGCGAGTTACGTCGTTTCTCTCCTGTTGTCATGTGCCTTTTTGGATACCCATGAACGAGTGGATGAAGACACGCAGAATGGACTGCGCCCTTGGGGTCGCTCTACTTTTGGCTTTGACAGGTACATGCTTTTGGTCACGAAAATAAGCTAAAATCGGACGGGGAGCTGATTACACCACCTTTTTACACAGTTCGAGTCACGTTTTTAGGGTTTTTTTCTCTTTTTTTTTAATTCTAAGGAAAATGGTCGGAAAAATCACATTTTAAGGGCGGAGCTAATAAACTGCTGTTTCACAGGATTAAGCCAAGCTTTGAAACTTTTGACATATCGACGGTGAAACTACCAAACCACGTATCTCGGTTTGCGACGTCGCAGACTTCCTGTCATACTTTATTTTTTTAATGAAAAACTACTTAACGTCTAGTCTTGAAAATCTCTGTGATTTTTCCTCTTTGTGCGGAGAAAATTCTGTGAAAATTTCAAGGAATGATATTGATTTGGTCGACTTCAAAAAAATAAAATGCGAGCGCAGATTTTTAAACACCGCAAACGAGATACGTGGTTTGGTAGTTTCACCGTCAATATGTTCTCTAGAAGTAAATTTTACGCCCTTTTCAATGAGTTTAACCGTTTTTTCTCAGATAATCGTGGCTGAAGATAAGAACCAAAGTTTCTCCAAAAATCAGGGAAAATGCGCTTTTTTAAAGCAAATTTTTGACGAAAACGTTAGCTTAACGACCAAAAAATTAAGCTAGGAAAGGAAAAGGAGGGTGATTTTGGTTGGAAATGTTATGTCCTTTCTGCTGGTTTTTTTTTCGTAAGATTAGTAGTTGAGGAGATATTTCCAAAAAACTGATCGTGGGTTTTCTCAATTTTGAAAAATTCAAAATGGCGTCGCCCTGACCACCAGCCAATTTTCCTGAAGTTATTATTGGCATTTTCGGACTTCTATATCACCTAGGAATCGAAAAAAATTGGTTTGGTTCAAAGGATAAACCAAAACCCGGAATTTGTTGTGCGGTGTTATTTAAATCGATAGACAAAGCTATAGATATGAGAGAATAAAGTTGTCCTCTTAGCGAAAGTGGGTGATTGCAATGGGTGAAGTGATAAACTAATTGTCACTTTATTTTCTCTTTGTTTTCTTTCTCCATCGCTTTGTCTATCAATCTCAATAATCAGCTCGCGGCACTGAGAAAAATTACCCTTTCAATCGACAAGAGTTTCTGTGAAATAAGCTGCGAGTAGAATTTTTCATTGAAACAACAGAGAATCTATATTTCAGCCAGTATTCATCCTGTTTCAAAGATACGTCTTGTCGCTTTGGAAAGACTTCCGATTGATTCGACGAGAATTTTTGTTGAGGCATGTATAAAAGGAACACTTTTCTCAGCGTGCATTCGGCAAGAAGACGGAAAAACTGCATTTGGACGATGTAAGTCGGCAATCACATAACTCGGTTGCGGTGTCTAAAAATCTCCGCCTCTATGTTATTATTTTAAAGGAGAACAAATTGACATCATTTCTTGAAGTTTATGCAGAATTTTCTTCGCACAGAGAAGAAAAATCACGGCAGTTTTAATGAATCGCCGTTGAGTGGTTTTCCGTTTAAAAAATAAAGTATGACAGGAAGTCTGCGGCGTCGCAAACCGAGTTATGTGATTGCCGACTTACACCGTCGATATGTAATACGAATTTTACTCGACATTCATGGGAATTGATGGGCTTGGAAGGCTAAGCACATGAAAGCCGTTCTTGGAAAAATTTAAACAATAGTAATTTCAACATAACTATAGTCTTAAAATATAGTCTGAGAAAGATTTACAACCAGAATCCAATTTTTAAGCAAAATGTGAGTTTGAACTTCCTTTCCGCCATGAAATTTTAAAACGTTTAAACACGTGTTCCTCGAAATAGCAAAAACTGCACTTATGCGCTTTGTCTCAATTAATTTATGTCATAAAATGGCATTTTTTCTTTCTTTATTTCAAAAAAAGTAGAGAGTAAGATATTATAGTCATTCCGAGTAGGTAAGACTATAAACTCAAAGATACTTATGAAAGAAATGGACACTACAGAAACACGGGGAAAGTGTCTCGGAAATATACGCATTACAAAAAGCCCAGTATCTAGAGCGGGTATATTCAGTCCTCGCTGCCAAAATTTGGTACAACTTCCGAAAGCTCATTGGTACATTTTGTCAAGCGTTCGGTCAGCCGAAACCGAGATTGTCGGCTTCAGCTGCCGAGCTTTACTTGATTCGGATATTGCCAAAATAGTTATTACTACGTTGAGCTCATTTTATTGCCTCAATAGGTATTCTTGTTTGCAGGTCATTGTTATGATTAGCATCTGCGTAATTTTTCGATTTTAAGCCCGTTTTGCTTGACGTCACAAAAACACCATGTAACTCCTTGATCTAATGATATATTATTTCATTGGAAAAGCTAGTCATTTAAAAAAATATGCAAATTACTCGTATATATCGTCACTTTACGGCCAAGTATCACAAGCACCGTGCGACGTTTAAAAATTTCCGCCGTCATTTTATTTTTTTACAGAGGAATTGTTGGTTAAATCTGTTTGAAATGTTCACCAAATTTTATTGGCAGGACAAAGAAAATTCAGTGAGATTTTTGGACAGCTTCGTTGAACAAATTCTTTGTAAAAAAATAAAATGGAGGCGGACATTTTTAAACGTCGCATGGCGCTTGTGATACTTTGGCCAGAAGGTGACGATATGTCGCGACGGCTCGGCATTATGCCCACTTCACTCGCTGAAAATGGGAGCTGAAAACGAAGGTCACCGATGCATCGTTGGGTGGTGCCCCGAAAAGGCTGCACAACACGCAATTTTCAGCGATCGATGAGATCAGAGCATATCAGCCATCATTTCACTTATGCTCAAAAAATGGCAGCCCGAGTTTTAAAGTTACTCTCAATATTGTAAAAAGTGTAAATTTTTACCAATTCGTGATATTTTTGGGTGAAAATGGGTTTCGAGGGTCAACATTCAACAGCGTCAAAGGGCCGTGGCGTGAACTTTTAGCACCTGGGGCAAGGATGTTGTCGGCGCCCCTACCCCACCCCCACCGCCCCAGGGGAAGCTGGGGGGGAGGGGCGCTTCAGAAAATTCAGAATTTTAAGAGCGCATTTATTTCACTTTATCGTTTTCTCCCGTACTTTTTCCTTTTCGACTTTTTGCCGCCCCCCCCCCCCCCTGGGGCAACTGGTCCACTCGTCCATAGGACGGGACGCCAGGGCACCCGTTCCACTCGCCCATAGAGTCCCTTTATATTGAGAGTTAAGACAATGTGAATCCATTTCTGATTGGTTCCCGTATTTTAAGCCTCCACAGTGTCACAACGGGAGTAAAGATTACATGTTCACCAAATGCAAAGATTATAATCTGGAATGGACCGAGGAAACACGGGTTCAACAAGGAACAAACGGAATGTGAGAAGGAACGGAGAAAGGAATTTGAGAATGAGCCGACCAAAGATTACGAAAAACGTTCAATTTGAGTAATCTTTATTCCCGTTTGTGACTCCATGAGGGGGTGTTGTCTCGACTCTCAGGGTCCTACGTCGGTTTGTCGGACGTCAGGTTGTCCTAACTCTCAGTATAAAGGGACTCTACTCACCCATAGGACACCACGGCCCTGCAGCGACACCGATGAACCATTTTCAGGACTCCATCTTCAGCGTGTGCAGTCGGCTTTACTATTAGCAGTGCAATTGGTTCCCCCAAAAACTAGCCGGAATGGGATGCTAGATGCGTCTCGGCTAATCTGCCTGTCTGATTCGGCCC